TAGCCTTCCTCACCTCCTACTTGTTTCTCAGAAACACCTACCTAGCTCCACCCCAGGAAGCAGACACCCGCTGTTCCTAACCCTGCCCCTACCCTGGCCTCCCACGTGGCTGGCTTCTCACCACTAAGGTCTCTGCCCAAATGTTGACTCCCCAGAAATTCCTTCTTGTCCCGCATCCCAAAGCGGCCCCTCCCGCAGTCCGTCTACAACCTGCACCCTGCTTTATTTTCTCCTTAGCACTTTGGCCTTAAAGTATCTTGCTTGTTTGTTAACTGTCTCCCACAGCCAGAGTTTAAATACCATGAGAACGGGCTCTGCTTTCCACTACCCCATGGTATTCCCCCCAGCAGTATCTGGCTCATAGTCAGTGCTCAATACGTACTTGTTGAAGCTACTTGGCTCGGCTGTCTTGCAAAAGTTCTGGGATAAAACAGAACGAACACCTCTCAGGGCATCAGGCCTGTGGCCACTCGCACACCTGAACTGCAGGGACACCAGACACAGAATGGAGCAAGTCCTCTGAGGGGTGCTGTCCTCCATTGTCCCTGCCCATAGGTAAACACGGGGGAAGAGACAAGAAGGACACTATGGGGTGCTTTTCTTTTCCCCTGAGAGGCTAAGGAAGGGTTGTGGGCAGCTGAAACCTGGTGGGTGGTGTTCTGCTGGGATGAGATCCTGGGGGACCTGCAGGTGACACCTGGAAGGTGACTGACAGGAGACAGGGACTCTACAAGGCAGGTTTGGAGGCAGTGCCAAGAGTCTGTTCCTCCTCTCCCACTCGGGCCTTCTCAGGAAAGTCCACAGGGTAGAAATTATTCCTTGGAGAATTAGGAGAAGGAAACAGGAGACAGGAACTCTACAAGGTGTTTGAGGTTAGATGTTTGTAGCAGCCCTGGTTTGGGGGTTCGGCAGCCTTGCCTTCAGTAGCCTTTCCCAACCCCTCTGGTTACCCTTCCTTCCCTCTCTCTCCTTCTCAGTGGGGCAAGATGGTAGCTCAAGCATTGCGGATCATCATTTTCCTCCCTGTTTCCAAGGAGGAGGAGAGCATGACCGCTGGGACTGTCTCAGAAAACTCTCAGGAGAACTGTCCAGCACCGCCAAAGATACTATTTATTCTCAAGGGATAAGCCCCCAGTAGACAAGAGCATTAATAAAAAGTGAAACACAGTCATGGGCGACAGATTCACAATGCAATTATTATTATTATTTTTTAATCCTCACCCGAGGACTTTTTTCCATTTTTTTGTTCAGATAGAGTGGGAGGGAGAGAGAGGAAGAAAGAGAGAGAGAGAAACATCGACGTGAAAGGGACACATCAAGTGGCTGCCACCCTCATGACCAACCAGGGCCGGGGACAAACTGCAACTGAGGTACATGCCCTTAGCGGGAACCGAACCCGGGTCTCTCTGGCCCGCAGGCTGATGCTCCAACCACTGAACCAAACCAGCCGGGGCTCACAATACAATTATTGATGCAAACACAGATCTCTTCTCTTCCTTGCATTTTCCACCCCTCTTCCTCCAAAAATTGCTGCTGACGTCTGGGTAGTGACTCGGGGAGGCAGCTAGCAGGGGAGAGTGACTTGGCTACAGCTGATGCTAAAAAGGACCAGCACCAGGGCAAAGGCCGGAGATGGCATCCTCCCTCATCCCTAGCCTTCAGAACTGGCCCTGTCCAAGTTGGGTGGATTAAATGTGATAAGGTGTCTGACACTTAGTAGTAAGAGCTCTGATGTATTGAGTCCCCGAGGCCAAGTACCACGCTAAGTGCTTTACAAACATCACCTCCTTCAATCACTGGCCCAGACTCCATGAAGAACTAGATCTGTCTCATTCCCACCATATCGCTAGAGCCAAGTATCCTCCTGCAAGATGGTAATAATGACCAATCACAGGACCCTTATTTTGTACACTCGCATTACAGCCTACTTACCATTTCACTTCTATTTACCTATGTACACTTCTAATTTTCATGATGATTTTAAGAAGTAATTTCTACCGCTATCTCCATTTTATGGATGAGGAAACTGAGGCACAGAAGGCAGAGAAGAGTTGGGTAACTTTCCCAAAGTCATCAAGCAAGTGATAGGGCAAGAGTCTGAACCCAGACAGTCTGGCTCCAGAGTCCATGCCCTTGACTCCTATGCTAACTCGGGGGTGGGGGGTGGGGGGGTCAGGAGATGCTCACAAGTCTGGCATCAGGCTGTTTTATAGGTAAAGCAATTGAAGCTAAGAGAGCAGTCTAATGATTGGCTCAAAGCCACAGAGCTGTTAGGTGGCAGACCCAGGAATGGATTTAGAGTGACTAAGCTGAACACCTCTGAAAGGGTACACTTCACTTCCCTCATCCCCAGCCCAAGCTCTGGGGCCAACCTTTTCCTCTAGGGATCCCCCCAGAGTCCACAAATGGCTTGAGTCTGGGCCTGGACTGAGTCAGGCAGCTGTGGAGCGGTGACAGTGACATCCGACGCTCAGAGACAGCCCCCAGGCCGGAGTCTGTCAGGAGTACAGTTCTGAGGGCGGGACTGGCTGCGGCCGATGCTGGGCCCTCCTTCCACCTGTAACCCCTGGCAAGAGAGCCTCAGAGGGCCTGGGGTGTCCCCGTCCCCAACCTCCTAGGGCAGAATGGTGACTCTTTTCCTGGGAGAGGAAACCAGCAGCTTCAGACACGGGGTTTGGTCAAGAGATTTTTCATCTTCATCTCCTGGCAAGAGCCGAGCTTCCATCACTCACACACTTGTTTTCCATCACTCACGTCCTTGCCCGTCGGCTGGCATCTGGCTCATCGTGGATGTCCCGTGATAAGTCAGGGACGTGACAGATGCCATTAACATAACATCCCTATTCATCCTCCCAGGGTAGGCTGGCGTGGAGAGGAGGCCGAGAAAGGGATGGAGTCAAAAGAGAGCAGCTTTTGACACCAGACTCATTTGAGACTGAGTCTGGCTTCTGCTGCTTTACTAGCTAGGTAGCGTAGGACAAGTTACTTAACTTCTCTGAGAACCTAAGTTTCCACGTTCATAAAATGAGGACAGAAAGTCTTATCTGGAATCAAAGCCACTGCTTTGCACAACTCCAGGGGGCACCATTCACATTATTGCCCATGTGAGTGGTGCCACATGGAACCCAACTCCATAGACTACAAGGAGAAGGATGGCCTGAGTCTGCACCTGGCAAGTAAGTGTAGCTACACCATCTTTCAGATGTGGAATCGTGATGCTAACAGGGTTCTTGTGAGGACCAGACATCACGCCATGCAAAGGGCCTGGGGCCTCACAGGTGCACAGTAGGCATGGCATTAACGTGGGATAAGGAGGCAGCCCCTGGGGTGAACGGTACACATCTCCCAGACACCTCCTGCACTGAGAGCTGCCCCTACCTAATTCTGGCACATGTGTGGACCAGGTGGGAGTGAGTAGAGACCCAACTCACAATAGCCTTGTTAGCAAGGCCTCATTTTTCACGTCCTATAGGGTCTCCTCTTACCTCTCAGTTTGTCCCCATGGTAACCACTAAGAGTATGAGACTCCTTGGCAGGGGACTGGGGATAGTTAGGGGGTTTCACTCTATTAGGGTTTGTAGCTGACTGGTCAAGAAATCCTCTACTGCCCTGTCTTTATCTCCAGTCATAGGGTGTCTTCAAGTCAAAAAACATTTATTAAAACCTGCTGTATGCTTGGCACAGTGGAGAGGGGAGTGCCAAAGTAGATAAGACAGTTCGCAGCCCCAAGGTCACCGAAGAGTTAGCTGAGGTGGTGCAGTGCAGGGAAGCAGGGTGTGTGTGTGGTGTGTGTGTGGTGTGTGTGTGTGTGTGTGTGTGTGTGTGTGTGTGTAGAATCACCTTCACTTGACGCTTGGACCCAAGGGCGCCATGCTTCTCAGAGCCCTCGAGCCGGAAACCAGCAGCTCCACTGCCCACCTTTGGAATTCAGTCTTTTCTCTTCTCTGCAGGTGAGGGCCCAGTCCTGCCTAAAGTCATCTCCTGTTGCCTCACTGCCTCTCAACCGGCCCAGTTGGCTGCAATTCTGCAGCTTCCAACATAGGAGTTAGTCAAGAGCTCTCCATAACTGGAGGCCAAAGCTCACCTTTTAATGGCCTCTCACACCCTCTCTCCTCCTTCGCCACCCACATCAACAATTCTATCCTCTTTATTCTGTTTGCTCAGTGAACTCTGAGATAGAGCAGATCCTTTGCCTTGTCTATCTGATTTACTGCAGAACCTCTAGTTCTGAGACCTAATAAGGTGCTCAACACATGTTAGTTGAATGAATGGATACAAGAATAAATGAAGTCCTTCCATGGAAGTTGGGAACACTTCATGCTTACTCTAGGAAGATGTTCAGACATCGAAGGTTCTGAACCTTCGTGTTCTCCAGAAGAAATCACCACTGCCCTTGTTTCCTACCATGGAACCCTATTCCTGACCCCTTTACCATTCTTTTATTCACTGGGCCAATATTTATTGGGTAGCTCTTCTGAACTGAGTGCAGGAGATAAGCCTTGAGCTTTCTTCACACCCTGGCTCCTTCTTATCACCACACACCCTGCCCAGGGCACTTGCTCCTCCCTTGTTCTGCCTTTCACACAGGGGTCTCATATTTGGGCTTTCTCTGACCCTGCCAACTTACAAAAGAGTTGAGGGAGGGTGGAGGACTAACATCTGCCTCAGCCCATCCTTCCACCACACTCTAGGGACATGTCCCAGCCAGGCTCTGGCCAGCATCCCAAGCCACCCCACCTCCTGGAACAGTCCTGAACGTGTTGTCTCAGCTCAGACCCTGGGATCCCTGCCCCTGGGCGTCCTGCCCCCAGCGCCCTGGCCCCTGGTGCTGCCTGAGGCGGGAGCTGCCAGCTTTTTGGAATTCCTAATCGCTCCTGGCCCCAGTGATTGGCTGCTCAGCTCTGACCCCACTTGGGCTGCCGCCTGGTTGGATAAAAGGGGAATCTCCTTGGGGCTCCAGAGCATTAGACACCGGAGGGGGCACCTGGGACCAACTTCGCGAAGCGGGGAGCCCGGCGGGGGGGTGGGGGGAGCTGAAGACCTGCGGCCTCGGCCCCTCCAAAGAGCCGGGAGATGACGGGAAAAGCGGGGGAAGCGCTGAGCAAGCCTAAATGCGAGACAGTGGCCAAGAATACCTCGGGGGGCGCTCCGGCCAGGTGCACTGGGTTCGGCATTCAGGAGATCCTGGGCTTGAACAAGGAGCCCCCCAGCTCCCATCCACGGGCTGCCCTCGACGGCCTGGCCTCCGGGCACTTGCTGGCAGCGCGCTCCGTGCTCAGCCCCGCAGGAGTGGGCAGCATGGGGCTGCTGGGGCCCGGGGGGCTCCCGGGCTTCTACGCGCAGCCCACCTTCCTGGAAGTGCTGTCCGACCCTCAGAGCGTCCACTTGCAGCCGCTGGGCAGAGCGTCAGGGCCGCTGGACACCAGCCAGACGGCCAGCTCCGGTAGGTGAGGGCAACGCTGCGTGGCTACCTGACTCGCGGCGGGAGCCGGGACCCCACACCTTCGGCTCTCGCTTGTACCGCAAGGCCTCCTCGGGGCGCAAAAGTTCGTGCCAGGCTGAGGGGTCGCACCCTGGCCTGGGGCCCGCGTGCCCTGGGCGAGGGCCGGGAAGATGCTCCTGGGGCCGCCGGGTTTCCTCCCCAGCGTTTCGGGCCGCCGCGCTGTTCTCCGGTCCCTGCGTTGGTCCCGGCTCTGGCGCGGCGCCCAGTAGGGGCCCCGATGGAAACCGAGCTTAGGGTATCAGAGCCCGTGGGGCGGGCTGGGGCCCCCAGTTCCTCTGCTCCACTGCGTCCCCAGCCTCCCGGACGACCCACGCTTGTGGAGCCCAATTTCATTCCGTGCGCTGGCGGCCCGAAGCGGGATGCCAGCTTCAGCCCCAGCCCAGGTGCCCAAAGTTGTTTTTGCCTTTCTCCTTTTCTCCATTCTAAACTCCTCGCGTTGCTCAGTTAAGGCTGTTGTTGTTTTTCACCCCACGAGCTTGGACAACGCCGCCACCGAGGCTGCTGAATCGGCCACGATCTGATTCCTCCTAAGCGCCACAGTGTATCGGATCCCCGCGCCTCGCGGTCCGCGGGCCCCTGGATGACCCCGCCACACCCTCCCCAGGCCGATTTCCCGGCCCCGCGTCCCCATCTGCTCCGGCCTCCGGCTTTTGTTGGCGCCCAGCAATTCCCCCTATTTTTCGTTACTGTTTCTTTTATTTTTATTCGGAAGAGCCACGCAAGGAGTCGCGTCGCAGTGTCTCCAGTCTCGAGCCGGGGCGCATTGTGCGGCCACTGGAAAAGGGGCTGTGCGGAGGGAGATCTCAGCCCTTCTCGGCGCCCAGCTCCTTGCGCCCCGGCTCCGCTGCTTGGGACCAATTTTCGATCCCGGGACGATGGGGCTGCCGGCGCAGGTCAGGGCGTGGAGCTCCGAGCGCCATCGGCGGTCCTTGCGACCTCCTCTGTGACTGCCTAGCTTCCCGTTATCCCTGCCCCTAGAGCGCCGGGGCCTTTGCCTCTCTTACAACGAAATCTGCTCAAACCCTCCGGATTAGGGCGTCGGCGTGGGTAGGGCCAGCCTGGGTTTAGGGATGGGATCGACCACCCAGAGGGCTTCCCAGGGAGACAGAGCAGGTCCCCGCCGCTCCCGGAGGCGGCCGGGTTGGGGCCCTGGCAGGTTTGGGGCGCCTGACGTTCCAGAGCGCTGCTCAGCGCACCCCTCATTCTGCTGCATGTGCCTTCACCCGCTTTTCAGATTCTGAAGATGTTTCCTCCAGCGACCGAAAAATGTCCAAATCAGCTTTAAACCAGACCAAGAAACGGAAGAAGCGGCGACACAGGTAAGGCCCCTGAGGCTCTTTCTGTTACTTCTGCTGCCCAAACCCTGCCGTTTCCTGTTTGGGGGTCGGGTCTCTCGGAATCTTGTTTTCTCCGCCTCCAGACCCGAGGTCCAAGGCTGTGCCCCCGCGGGGTGAGCTGGCGTTGTTTGGGGACCTCCGCCCGGGCCCTGGCGTCAGGTTGCGCCGGGTGCGGAGGATGAGAGGCCGTCAAGGAAGCGGCTCCGTGTTAGGCTTTCTGCTCCTTCGGGAGAAAGGAAAGGCCCCAAACAGAAACCAGAGCTAGAGAGGGGCTGGCAGCCCCCGGATGCTATCCTGGCATCTGCACACTCGGAGAGCCACGCACACCTCTTGTCGGGCAGCTCGGCTCCCAGCTCCCGCCCAGGCCAGTTCCTCTGCCCTCTGCTCTGGCCCCCATTCTTTCCCCCAAATCTCCAGCGTGACATCTGCACTGATGGAAGTCTTTCGTTAGGCTTCTGCTCTTTTTCGTGGTCCTGAAAATGTAGCTTCCCTTCTGTGAGCCTCAGTTTCCTTGTCTGTAAAATGGGGAGAGACAGGGGAAAGTGTGGATTGGGTCATGACCCCCACCAGCCCTAGCTGGAGCCGAGAGGGCTGCCCTGGGGTACAGACTAAAGAGTTTTTGTTGTTGTTGTTGTTTTTAATGTCTTTAAATAGACGTCACTTAAACGAAGTTAAAATTCAGTCGTGCCTAAAGGTATATCCTGGAAAGTAATCCCCTCATTCCAGACTCGCACGCCCTTGGTCGTCAGCACCAGTTCCTTGTGTAAATTTGCCAGAATCTTTTTAAAGAAAATAAAGGAACAAGAACCAAATATCTGCCTTTCTGTGAGTGCTACTTCCAGGCGCTGTCCCTGAGCTCACCCAGGGTCTGTGTCCCCAAACCTCGCTCTGCACGGGCCCAGGTGGGGCGCCCGCAGGGATCCCTGGCTCTCCGGACCTCTCCCCTTCCCAGCCCCCTTCCCGCCGGCCCCTTCCGCGTCCTCTTCACCCCAATTTGTGATCAGCCTCTTTGCACCCTTTCTCTCGGAGCTTTTCTGCGTTTCCCTCTTCCTTAGCCCTTGGAAGCTCACTATTGACCCCTTTTAAAGGGGCTCTTCCTGATCTCTCAGACCCCAACAGGCTGCCGCTGGAATGAGGGTGAACTTTGACTTGGTTCCTCAATGACCTCGGACCTTCGTTCTCTCAGGCAGACGTTTGCTTTTGTTCAGTTTGTTTTGTTTTATTTTAAACGGAAACTTTTTTTTTTAAGTCCTGATCCTGGGTCATTTTTACATCCATTTACCCAACGAATATCCATTAAAACACCTCTTGTGTATCCATCTCATGCTGGTCCCAGGGTGGGTAATCCTGCCAGCCTCTGAATCCACGGACAGGGACCATAAACCATGGAAGGGACAGATCGAAGTCCCGCTGAACTGGTTCTGCTTTGGTGCGGGGACTTGGGGAGAGGTTTCCATACAAAGAAGAGCCCTGGGGAAAGCATGCCCCAAACCCTGAGTGCCCCAACAGTGTTTCTCCCTGTGTGGCACTTGGCACTTACTGACCCATAGTCCAAAGTCCATGCTTAAGGTTCCTGACCCTCTGTCCTCACCGGCCACCGTCTCCACCAGGGAAACCTTTGGGAACTTTGGAGGGTTCCCAGGGAGACAGGACAATAACCGGCCAGCTGCTCTAGGTTTCTGGATATTTCTGGTGCATGAAGGAAGCAGATTATTGGAGAGAGGAGAATGGCTACTGATTGTCAGTGCAGTTTTTTTTTTTTTTTTTTTTTTATTATATATATATTTGAAAGCATTTTTCTGAGCTTCCCTCATTTGGAGACTTGAGAGAAGAGAGCCTAGACTCTGGAGATGAGAGCTGGGCATCATTTTATTTCCCAGAAACACGTCAGGCTTAGCAGGGGTTGGAGGAGGGAGAGAGGATGGGCCAGCAGCCTTGACAGTCCCAGATTTTCCTCTTTTCTTTACCCGGAAATCTCAGACAGCATACAGTGGGATCCTGAAGGGTCCGGGTTCCTGCAGAGAGCCAGGAGCAGGTTTTTTGGGTCACATTGCGGGAGCACAAGGAGGTTCCTTGGGGAGCACGTCAGCATCAACGCGTGGACTGGCTCTGAGACAGGAATGAAGGGAAGTTGGGGGGATTCGAGGCTTTGTTATATTTGACTCGGGCTCTCCTAAGCAGAGACTGGCACTTGAATGGTCTTAAATGACCTTGTTAGCTCTTCTCTCTGGCTTTGCCCACAACACCTATGTGCTTCAGTTTCCCTCGTTTTGAAAAGGACTTGCATATTTTGATTTCTTATTTTGACGATTTGTGTAGGGGCCCTTCAGTAAGTGACAGGAGAGAAATAGAAAGCAGCAGATCTTCAAAATTCTGAAGAAATAACTTTCTGTTTACATAAGCATTTCATCCCCAACCCCCGAGAGAAAGAGGAGAAACGATTTAGAATCAAACCAGTCATTTTCTATAAAGAGCAGAATCCTTCTTCTTCACAATCCCCTGCATCACCCCCTGACATATTAACGACAACACCAGCACAAGGATCGCAGGGGCTTAACTTTGTACTTCATCCTGTGTTGGATGAGGGTGAGGACAGCAGTGAGGGCCTCTAACCCCTGTGCTGGTCCCAGGGTCCAAATCCCAGAGATTCAAGCAAGGAAGATACCATATTTGTAAGTTGAGTTTGTGGAATCTGGACTCTATTGCTCCTTGGCTTGTTGATGAGGGTACAAGATAAAGGTCACCTAGAACTTGGAGAAATTAAGGTCTGAAAAGAGAAGAATTTGTGTCTGTAAAGTGGGTAGGTAGCGTGTTTATTTAAGAAAGGAGGTCTATGAACTCTCTAATATTGGAGACAAATTTTATGTATTAGAGAATATTCGTTTGTACATTTTCCTACGGTGAGAGGATGTAGCTTTTACCGGATTTGTAAAGCAGGCTGACCCCAAATAGGTCAATGTGAACTGCTCTGTGGGGGTGTGACCCAAGTAGAACTCCCCTGAATGGGGACCCCTGCTGGGTGTGCCTGAGCTTGTGAAGGGGGTGGTTGAAGGTGGCTCTGACCTTCTGAGCATAGGACAGGGTACCCTGCCCCTCATATGCCCACCCCTACAGCTCTGAAAGCAGTGTTAGGGAGCCGGTGGATCTGGACAGGTGAGGAGGGTGTAGTGTTGGGTGGGTTGAAGGAGTGGAAAATTCACTTCTCAGTTGAATAAACATGGGGGTTGCTGCTGCATTTGATCTTCAGGTGAGTCTTGGAACTTTGAGTGCAATTTACTTTTTTTTTTTAATGTTTTTGTGTGTGTGTGTGTGGTACTTGCCCCTATCAGGAACCGAACCCGGGACTCTCTGGCCCTCAGGCCGATGCTCAACCGCTAAGCAAAACTGGCCAGGGCTCAAGTGCAATTTAAAAGATCAACTCTCGCCGTGGCCGGTTTGGCTCAGCGGTTAGAGCGTCGGCCTGCGGTCCAGAGAGACCCGGGTTCGGTTCCCGCTAAGGGCACGTACCTTGGTTGTGGTTTGTCCCCGGCCCTGGTTGGGTCGTGTGGGTGGCAACCACTCGATGTGTCCCTTTCACGTCGATGTTTCTCTCTCTCTCTCTCCCTCCTACTCTATCTGAACAAAATATCAAAGGATGTCCTGTGTGAGGATAAAAAAGAAAAAAAAAGCCCTGGCCGGTTTGGCTCAGCGGTTAGAGCATCGGCCTGCGGTCCGGAGAGACCCGGGTTCGGTTCCCGCTAAGGGCACGTACTTCGGTTGCAGTTTGTCCCCGGCCCTGGTTGGTCGTGCGGGTGGCAGCCACTCGATGTGTCCCTTCATGTCGATGTTTCTCTCTCTCTCTCCCTTCTCTCTCTCCCTCCCACTCTATAAAAAAAAAAAAAAAAAATAGTTAAAAGATCAACTCTCTCTCTGAGGGGAGCCCAGGAAGCAGACCCCCGCCAGGCTAAGACATTTATTTTGCGGGTCCGCCAGCAGTGCCCACCCTGTGCGTGAGGGAAGAAAGGGGGACTTTCTGCAGTTTTCTAACATGTCTGTCTTAACACCTTTTCCCCAAAAGTACTTCTAGGAAGATTCTGATAATGGAATGCCACCGAGGGCTGACAATCCCCACTGCCACCACCGGAAGGGTAGTGTGGGCCCTCAGCCCTGAATGCAGAGAGGTCTAGAGAGTTAAGCTATGTGTGAGTGTGTGTGAACACGTGTGCATGTGAGCATGTGTGTATGTGTGTGTGAGGGCGTGTGTGTCTGGCTATGCTGAGCCCCTGGGTTTGGGGTCTGTCCAAGAGGCATAGGGAAGGGCCATTCTGTCCTCTCTGGGACCCACTCGTTCCGTTTCCAGGGTCCTGAGTGTCCGGTTTTGCTCCCCTCAGGACAATCTTTACGTCCTACCAGCTGGAGGAGCTGGAGAAGGCATTCAACGAGGCCCACTACCCAGACGTCTATGCCCGGGAGATGCTGGCCATGAAAACGGAGCTGCCGGAGGACAGGATACAGGTAACAGCTCCGAGTCCCTTCTCCCATTGCCCCCACTCTTGGTGACATGGACAGCCTAGGCTCCCAGACGCCCGTCTCTCACCCCCTTGCTATGAGCACCTACTTACCTGTGGTCACGTACTCATGAAGAACAGTTCGGTATTTGAGGGACACCTACCATGCGAGGTGGGCACCCCTGGGGGGACAAGGGACTTAGCAGATGTGGCCTGGCTTGCTGTTCCTGAGGCTTCCTGTGGTGGAAGGAGCTCGGTGGGTCCTGGGTTCGGAGTAGGGTCTCTGTCGTGGCAGCTGTCCCCTCCATACAACTGTCTGCTCAAAGGCCAGAGGTGGCCCCAGGACTTTCTGGTACGTGGGTGTGGAGGAGAGTGACTTCTAGCCCTGACCCCAGTCTGTTTCCCTTCCCTCTGTTCCCCTCCCCATGAAGAAGTGGTTTTGTACCCACTCCATCCACCTGAGGCTTTTCCTCTTCTCAACGAAGCAGCCAGCCCTGCCCTGAGCTCCTGCTCCTTTACTTGTCCCGGGCCTGGCCCAGAATGTGCTGGGGACCTGTGCTGGCAGGTGTGGCTCATGAAGCCCCCCTCCTCTCCTGGAGATGTGTGGCCAGCCACTGATCTGGACTGAGATATCCGTGACTGGGCGCAGGGCCTCCTCGCATCAGCAACAGGACCTTCCCAAGCCCAGAACCACCGCCCCCTGCTGGGCAGGCGTGTGGCTGCTCAATCATTTCTCTGGAGAAGATGAAGTCGGGTGATTCCTAGACTGGGCCTCCACAAGGAGGAAGTGCGTGGAGTGGGAGGAACATTTCCAAAAGATGTGGGTTTGCTTTAGCTGGGTGGCTACCTCCCATGAAAGCTGTTCCCATCATCTGGGAGGGCCAGAGTAGTTCGCTACTGAGGCTGGGGAATGGGGGGCCCTGGTTCCTGAAACCCGGCTGCTGGAATTCCTCCCCATCATGGTCCCTCATGTCTCCATGGTCCCCCAACAATGTGTGTTGGGGGCAGGGGGTGGGGCTAGAGAAGGAACCTCATGAGGTGCGTGGGTGGCTCTGCTCTCCCCCGTGAGAACTGGAGAACGGGAAGGGAGGCTGAGCCGCTACCCAAAACAGCCTTCTCTCCCTTGGAGACCCATTTGGAATTTCAGTCAGTGGCTTTGGACATTGACACTAACAATAAGCTCAATTATTCATAATCAGATTATCTGTTTGGTGCATTATTCATGGTGGCCGGGATCCATCACTCCCACCCAACTGGGTTCCAGTGGGGTGAGGCTGGATGTTGATTCTGAATCTTGTGTGTGTGTGTGTGTGTGTGTGTGTGTGTGTGTGTGTGTGTAAGCCAAGGCCCAGTCCAGTTGCTGTGTGGGGGTAACCTTCACCTGGCCTTCATTAGCACAAACTTGGCTATTACAATTGTTTGGGTGGGTGGGGGCTGACAAACCCCCCCTACTGGTAGGCCCCACATTTGCACTGCTGACCAGAGGGAAGGAACAGCTGGTCTCTTGCAGTGGATTGCCCTGTCTGGCTGTGGGGAGTGTTTGTAACTTCATTGCTATTAATGTCGCTTACAGTCCCCTGGGGGCGTCTATGGGCTGGTGACTGAAGCCACCAGGACAGACCAGAAAGGAGGAGCTGGGGCTGTGAGGATTAGCTATGGAATGTGTGCATATGGGAGAGTTGAGGCAAGAATCTCTCTAGGTCTTTGAGCACCACAAGGTTCTTTGGCTAAGTGCTGCCCCAGGAGTCTATAAGCTGTCATATAGTTCTGCCCCCAGATGTTTACCAAGTGGCCTGGGAAAGGTCTTAGCGTGCATTAGCATGTATCAACTCCAACGTAGCTGCAATTGACAGAGCAGCTTCCGTGTGCCAGGTATGCTAAGTGGGTGATGCGTGCAGGAGAGGCAGGGAGTGTCCTGGTTAGGGCACTCACCCTGGAACCAGACTGCCTTGTGTGTGTCCTGGCTCCACCAGTTACTGAGGGAGTGACTATGGACAAGTTATTTGGACCCCCAGGGCCTCCAATCCCTCGTCTGTAAAATGGGGGTGGGAGGGGCACCTGCAGATGCGATAAGACATACGTGTGATGTGTTCCAAGCTATGCCGGACACACGCCCAGTGCTCACTCAGTTTCAGCTCTGATCTCATTAAATCCTAGTGACAACTGGTGGAGTAGAGACCCTTAGTCTCCCTTTATTATTAAGGAAACTGAGGCAGAGCAACCTGCCAAAGCCACATAGCTAGTACGCGGGGCACACAAGGACCTAGCTCTGCATGTAAAGCCCACATGCTGACCTGCCTCTTGGGTTTGAAACCTGTGCTTGGACCTGAAGCTGGGGGAAAGAGATGGTCTGAGGTCAGGTGGGGGCCTGTGTCAAACTTCTTTATAAAAATAACTGATACTTATTGAGCCACAGGCACTATTCTTTAAAAAACAAACAAACAAACAAAAAAAACCAAAACTTACTCATAAAAAATTCTTCAGTGGGCTATGACTCTCCCGCCCCACTGCCCACCAGTAGCCCCTCCAATGGTAACCAGTTTCCTTCTAGAGATAGTTTATGTATATTCCCAAGGAAGCAGGACACTCAGTGAGCTAGGTACTATTACTGTTCCCATTGTACAGATGGGGAACCTGAGGCACGGTGGCCAGAATGCAGCCCAGCCTTCTCATCATTTCCTCTCTAGTTTAGTGGGACTAGTGCATCTAAAGACTGAAAGCTACCACTTGAGCCCCCCTCAGCTTTCAGCCAGAGGCCTGGTGTGTGTGTTAGGGGATACAGAGCGGGGGTGGGGGGTGGGTAGTTATTAGAGGCTCCAGGTCTGAAGTTAGACTTTCTCAAGGTGAAATGCAAAGGTTATTTGACTGGATGTCAATGACTCAGATCTTCATTCTGGCTTTGACACCACCAGTCAGGGGGATCCCTTCCAGGGAGGGGCCTTCTCAGGATCACCTTCCTCACCAGGTCCCTGGGCTGCCATTGGTGCAATGGGGGAGCATGACAGGTGGAATTTAACAGCCCAAGGTGGACAGCTGAGACACACGCTCTCAGGGCCAAACCAAGTAAACCCCTGGATGTGTCTGAGCTCTACTATCTAATGTCTAGTGAAAACCCAGTGAGGACGTGAAAAGTCAAACACACCTTTTTTTTTTTTCCAATCTTCCAATCTTTTTTTTTTAATTTAAATATTTTATTGATGACACTATTGCAGATGTCCCCCCATTCCTCACTTTTGTCCACCTCTACCCAGCCCCACCCCCCTCCTTTGGCCCTCACCACACAGTTGTCTGTGTCTGTGGGTTATGTATATATGTTCTTTAATCCCCTCACCTTCCTTTATCCAGCCCCACCCTACCCCACTCCCCTCTGACATTTATAAGTCTGTTCCATGTATCCATGCTTATGGCTCTATTTTGTCAGTTTATTTTGTTCATTAGATTCCACATATTAGTGACATCATATGGCATTTGTCTTTCTCTGACTGACTTATTTCATCTAGCATAATAATTTCTAAGGCCATCCATGCTGTTGCAAAGGGTAAGAGTTCCTTCTTTTTCACAGCTGTGTAGTATTCCATTGTGTAAATGTACCACAGCTTTTTTATCCACTCATCTACTGATTGGCACTTGGGCTGTTTCCAGATCTTGGCTATTGTAAATAACACTGCTATGAACATAGGGGTGCATTTATTATTTCTGATTGGTGTTTCAGGAGTCTTAGGATATATTCCTAGAAGTGGGATCACTGGGTCAAAAGGCAGTTTCATTTTTTATTTTTTTGAGGAAACTATACTATTTTCCACAGTGGCTGCACCAGTCTGCATCCCCACACCTACTTCCAGTCTTTGTTTCTCTGCCAGCAAGCCAAGCTCTGAGCCTCAAATTACTCACTTGTAAAATAATAACAATAACAATAATATTTCCCCAAATACTAATTTAATAAAAGTGTTGCTATTACCACCCTGGCCGGTTTTGCTCAGTGGTCAGAGTGTCGGCCCGCAGACCAAAGAGTCTCAGGTTCGATTCCAGTCAGGAGCATACACCTTGGTTGCGATGCGATCCCTGGCCCTGGTCGGGGTGGTATGAAAGGGAACCAATCGATGTCTCTCTCTCTCTCTTTCTCTCTCTCCCCCTCCCTCTCTTTCTATCGGAAGATAAATGGAAAAATATCCTTGGGTGAGGATTTAAAAAAATTTTTTAAACCCAGTATTGCTATTACTTACCATTGCTCAGCTATTAAGTCCCTCCATGCCTTGTTTCAGTAAAACCCTCACAGCAGCTAGATGAATTGGGTGCTCTTCTTATCCCCATTTTCTGGATGTGGAAAATCAGGGACTGAGAGGGGAAGGAAGTCGTAGGCTGGGTTCAAACCCAGTACTCAACTCCTGTCACAGGAGAGCACATGAAGGGACACGAATGCCTGTCTGCGTGAACTGGGATGATCGATGGCAAGAGCAGCGATGATGCCCCCACCCAGGGGCCTGTTTCCTCTGCCTGAGGGCTGCCGTGCCCCACAGCTCTCTGGTTGGGGTGAAGGGATACGGCGTATTGTCCGAGAAAGAAGAGATGCTGGGTCTCCACATGAGACTCAGACAGTCTTCTCTGTGTCTCCAAAACCGCTGGGACTGGCATTCTGGAAGCCCCGCCAGATGTCAGCTCCGGGGAAGAGGAAGTGGGTTTCCAGACTGACTACTTCCTCTGAGGCCACTCATCCCAAGAGTGATAAGATCGGGGGATATACATGCATTATTTATTTACTGTAATCTTTTCTGACAAAAGTCATACTTATTTTAATGCCCGCATGCCAGAGATGTGGATGTGCATAGTGAACCGAGCCCACATCTCACCCCGTCTTCGCAGCTCGGTGGGTATGGATGGCGCAGTCTGGAGTCTCTAACTAGCGTTGCTTGATTCTGCCTATTTATTTTTTAATTTTTTTTTACCCTCACCCGAGGACATTTTGACATTTTTCCACTTTTTGTTCAGATAGAGTGGGAGGGAGAGAGA